CTGTGAACGCACACTACGCAGTGAGAATAGAGGACCCTGGTGAGGGGTCTACATCGAGTTGATAGTGACGCACAAATGTATGTGGAGTCGACCATCCTACCGCCAAACAAATGTCAGAAAGGGCTGAGCCCGAAATAGAAGCTTTGGAGGCCCCGACAGCCCTTGTGGAGTGGGCCTTAACAAATTTAGGTGCAGGGCGTCCAGCAGCCTGATAGGTAAATGAGATAGTCTCAACTATCCAATTACTTATTGTCTGCTTATTTGCCGGACTCCCCCTTTTTGAGGGTCCGAAGCAGACCAGTAACTGTTCACTCTTTCTCCAGTTGATAACCCGGTTAACATATGTATTCAGAGCTCTAACTGGGCAGAGTAAGTTTAACTTCTCTTGGTCCGACGACTGAAATGGGGGCGGGTTAAAGGCCTGTAGCACAGCAGGTCTCGCCACATGAGTGGGCACCTTAGGCACGTACCCCGGTCTGGGATAAAGAAAGGCTTTGGACATGCCTGGAGCAAACTCCAGAAATGAAGGTGCAACCGACAAAGCCTGGAGGTCACCAACCCTTTTTAAGGAAGAAATAGCTAATAAGAAAGCTGTTTTTAGTGTCAGAAACTTATCTGACGCCTCCTGCAGTGGCTCAAATGGGGGAACAGAGATGCCCTCGAGCACCAATGTTAAATCCCATGTCGGTACCCTGTGTGTGCTGACAGGCCTTAGCCTTATGGCTCCACGAAGGAAGCGACGAATTAGCGGATCCTGTCCTAGTGACTCATCATCTAGGGGAGAACGGTAGGCCGCTATAGCTGACACGTACACTCTCAGAGTGGATGCAGCTAACCCATTAGACAGGCGATCTTGGAGAAATTCCAGCACTGAGGCTACCTGGCAGCTGACTGGGTTCAGCTGGTGTTCTCTGCACCAAGCTGAAAAGAGAGCCCATTTTAGGGCATAAAGCTTCCTTGTGGAGGGAGCCCTGGAGCTTAGAATGGTCTGAGCAACCTCGGTTGACAGTCCATACTCTATGAGGTGGGCCCCCTCAGAGGCCACACCCACAGTTTCCACAGGTCGGGTAGGGGATGAATATCATTCCTCCCCCCTGGGACAGAAGGTCCCTGCTGATGGGGATCTCCCACGAGAGACCCGCCAGCAGGGCTATGAGGTCCGAAAACCAAATCCTGGTAGGCCAAACCGGGGCTACCAGCAGTAACCGTACTCAGTCTTGACGGACCCTCTCCAGGACTCCTGGGAGCAGAGCGATCGGGGGAAAAGCATACAGACGTAGCCTCGGCTATGTCTGAACCATGGCAACCAGTCACAGAGGGGCTGGATGCGAGAGAGAAACCCATAGTACGCAATGCGTAGTCTCTTGGGAAGCAAACAGGTCTACCTGCGCTTTCCCTAATCTTTCCCAAATGGACTCCACCACCTCGGGGTGAAGAAGTTTCCATTCCCTGGATCTCACCCCCTGCCTCGACAGGAGATCTGCTCCCATGTTCAGATGGCCCGGGACATACATTGCCCTGATGGACAGGATTTTGTTCTGGGCCCACAGGAGGATCCGATGTGCTAGTTTGCATAGCATTCGAGACTTCAGACCCCCCTACTGGTTGATGTAAGCGACCACCAATGTGTTGTTCGTGCAGACTAAAACATGATGGCCCCTTAGATCTGGGAGAAAGTGTTTTAAGGCCAGAAACACGGCCATCATCTCCAGGCAGTTTATGTGCCAGTAACGATGATGTTCTCCCCATCGTCCCGCTGCGGGAAGCCCCCTCAGGGTTGCTCCCCAGCCCGTTAGAGAAGCATCTGTCATAAGCATGACGCGATGACAGACAGCCCCCAACACTAGGCCCTGGGACAGGAACTAGGGCATTTTCCACATACTTAAGGCTCGAAGGCAGCGCCGCGAGACCTTGATCATGCGGATCAAGCCCGTTGCTCCCTAGCCCGTCAGAGAAGCATTTGTCATAGGCATGACGCGATGACAGACAGCCCCCAACACTGGGCTCTGGGACAGGAACCAGGGCATTTTCCACATACTTAAGGCTCGAAGGCAGCGCCGCGAGACCTTGATCATGCGGAAAGGATTCCCCTTGAGGGAAAACCCCCTGGATTTGAGCCACCACTGCAGGGGTCTCATGTACAGCAGACCGAACGGAATCACGCTGGCTGCTGCTGCCATGAGACCCAACAACCTCTGAAAGTGTTTCACAGTGATGAACTGGCCTAGTTTGACTCTGTGTACGGTTGACTGAATCGAAGTGATTCATGGCGGGGACAGACGTGCTCGCATCGTCATGGAGTCCCATAGCACACCTAAAGAAATGGTCGTCCTGGCTGGAACAAGCACACTTCTTGCGGTGTTTAACCGAAACCCCAACCTTCTGATATGGGTGAGAACGACATCTCGATGCCGAACTGCCATATCTTGAGTCTGAGCTAGAATTAGCCAATCGTCTATGTAGTTTAGGATACGTATCCCCTGCATACGAAGTGGAGCTAGTGCCGCTTCGACTATTTTGGTAAAGGTTCGAGGTGACAGAGCTAGGCCGAATGGAAGAACCCGATACTGGAACGCTTCGCCCCCGCAAGCGAACCTCAGGTATTTCCTGTGTTGGGGAAGGATGGAAATATGGAAGTATGCGTCTTTCAGGTCTATCGTCACAAACCAGTCCTCGGACTGAATTTGTGACACCACGTTTTTGATGGTTAACATCCTGAACCTGAGGGCCTCGACGGACCGATTTAGATTTCTCAGATCTAATATGGGACGCAATCCCCCATCCTTTTTGGGAACTATAAAATACCGGCTGTAAAACCCTGACTCTTTGTCGAGTGGGAGAACACGCTCTATTGCGCCTTTTATTAATAAGGCCAGTACTTCCTGTTCCATAACCAGAGCCTGTTCTGGCTTCACTATGGTGGGTGCAATACCGTTGAAGCGAGGTGGGCGTGCACAAAACTGTATTTTGTAGCCATGTTCTACTGTGAACAGGACCCACTGGGACACCATCGGCAGGTGTTTCCATGCTGCCAAAAAAATGTGCTAGGGGTACCAGCCTCTCGAGACTGGCCTCTGGTTGTTCTTTGACCCCCCTGCAGAGGGGGTGGGGCCCCCAATGCCCTCAGACACTGAGGAACGCCCACCCCGGGAGACACAGAGCCCCCCACCAGCATACGTGGTGAGGTGGTCTCTCCCTTTCTCCGCGGACCCTGGTTCAGTGAGAGCGCTGAATGGTGCTCTCGGTGTCCAGGGGGGGCCCTGGAAAGCCTGACTCCCAACACGTCAGGACTTTGTTTTATCCTTTGTACTTTATGATATGAGGAGCTGGTTGACGGCTGGCCCTGACTTTTTGATCTTGGGGGGAGAAAGTCCCCGAGGGAGCTAGAGCGTTTTTTAACTCTGTCGAGGGATTCGGCGACGCGATCAACGGCGTCACCGAAGAGCCCTGAGCTCGATATTGGAGCGTCCATAAGAATAGCTCTATCGGTTTCTGACACTTCTGCTTGTGTCAGCCAGAGGTGCCGCTCAGTAGCCACCAGGGTAGCCATAGATCGCCCCAAACTAGAGGCTGCCTCTTTAGTAGCTCTTAAAGCTAGATCTGACGCCCGAAGAGCTTCTCGAAGCTGTTCGGGTGTTGCTCCCCCACCATCTAGGCACTCTTTAATTAGGTCAGCCTGATATGCCTGCAGCACTGACATGGTGTGCAGGCATCCAACAGACTGACCAGCCGTCATATATGCTTTACTGACTAGACCCGATGTTACTCTTAATGGTCTCGACAACAAAGGAGGGACCCTTGCAGATTTTAGATCTGAACGACGATGACACGCTAAGTCCTCTTCTATCATTGGCATTACTGTACATGCCTTTTCCCCTAGCCCACGAACTGCTGAATAAATAGCTGTTTTTGGTGTCATTAACCATGCTGAATACGGATTTCTCCATGATTTAGAAACCGCATCATGTAGCTCGGGACAAAAGGGGAGGTCCCTTAGTGGAGGATCTACTCTGCTGGGTAATTCTCTCTCATCCAGCATTCCTGTCAGACGCAGCTGCTGCTGCTCACGTGCTGGCTGCCAATCTATTACTTCGAACCTGTCAGCAGCACGTGAAATCACCTCCACTAACTCCTCATATTCCACTGACTGGGGCGGCAGATTCCCCGACCCTCTTTTTATTTGTTGCTGCGGCGCCTCGGTTTCCTCGGAAACGGAGGACGCCGCCCTCCCACGAGGCGCAGAAGAAACCGCAGAGCGTGCTTCTGACGCTCCCGAAGGAGGATTAGATCTCACGGATCCAGAGAGAGAAAGGACAGAGTCCGTCTCCATCTCATCCGCCAGATCTAGCTGCGAACCCCACGACCGAAGTCGACGCTCAGCCTCAGCACGAGCGGGAACCGAACCGCGAGGAGCATGCGCCACGGGAGCTTTATTAAAGAACTCTCTCCGACTGCGCAGCTCTTTACGGGAGAGAACGTCACAGTGTCCACAGTCAGCATTCTCAAATGCTACCAGGGCATGCTCTTCTCCCAAACACTCTAAACACTCTGCCATACCAAAATAAAAAAGTAAGTTGTCAGTTTTTTTGTATTTTGTGTATGCAAATCAGTAATGAAAGATCACAGAAAGAGTGTGTATTTTCACGTGCGTGCTTCTTGAAAGCAAAGAAGTTGATACTGAATGCTCAGTACAGGCTTTTATACTCTCTGGTCTGACGACACCTGCTTAATTACATTAGATTGATTTCACATGTGCTTCAAGACGCGTATAAAAGAGGTGTTCCCCTAGCGTTCTGGTTAGACGCAGTGTTGAAGTTCCCTAGAAGGGGAACAAAACAATGAAACAAAGCAAAAAATAACAAAGCGAAATGCAACAAGAAACAACACAACAAAAATGAACAAAACAAAAAAATGAACAAAACAAAACAAAAAAACTAACAAAAAAGAACAAAACACAAAATAAAACACGAAATAAAAACAAACAACAAACAAAAAACAAAATGAAAAACAAAATAAAACAAAACAAATATTAACAACACAAAACAAAACACAACAGACAAGCAAAACAAATAAACTAAATAAAACCAAACAAAAATTAACAAAACAAAATGCAACAAATGACAAAACAAAACAAAAACCTAAAAACGAAACAAAACACTAAATAAAATAAAACAAAAAAGACAGAAGAGAAACCGAAAAAATAAAATTAACAAAACAAAAAAATCGAAATAAAACGGCAAAAATTTATTAAACAAAACAAATGACAAAACAAAACACTAAATAAAAACAGACTAAAATTAACAACATAAAGCAACACAACAAACAAGACAAAAAATTATCAATAAATAAATCCAAACAACAATTAACAAAACAAAACGCAACAAATGATAAAACAAAACAAAAACCTAAAAACAAACAAAACACTAAATAAAACAAAATATAAATAAATAAATAAAATTAACAAAACAAAACCTCTAAATAAAGCAAAACACTAAATAAATTAAAACAACAAATCTAAATAAAACTGATTATTTTAGATTATTATTTTATTAAACAAAAGACAAACCAAAACAAAATTAATACAACAAAATAATAAATGAATAACACATGATTAAATATTACAAATTATCCTCATGAACAACATGTCAGGGTGACTGAGGAGTTCACTCTAATGCAATGCTTTTAGAGCTCTTTAAATGGGATGGAAATGACGATTTAAATATTCTATCATTTATTTTATGGCACAGATTGAACAAGAACATCATGCAAAAATCCCTAAAAGTAAAAAATAAATACAATTAAGCAAATAAATTTAACTTATATGATGTTAAAATTAAATAAAAGCCATTATGTCATGCAAAATCGTGTCATTGCTAAATGTTAATGACTTGCAAGTTATGGATTTTTTGTCATTTATTCTTGGTCTATATTTCCTTTTGTTGAACTCATTTATTGGTATAAATATATATATAAACAAAACAAAACTGATGTACTTAAACTTATTTCAAACTGAAAACAAGTAGATTTTACCCCAATACAAGAGTATTTAGATTGTTTTAATAATTAATAATAACAACATTATACAGATGAAGATTGTCATAAACAAACTGAAAAAGCCCCCCGAGATGAAGAGGCAGTGGTGTTTATATTTATGTAGAAAATAATCATTTCTGTATCATTTTAATCCTTTATTTGTTTGCATCTGTAGAGATATTTCGGTTTCACCTTAGTTTAGGTCACACTTCCTGCTATTAACACCTGGATTATTATTACACCTGCCAGTAGTTATGATATGAACTGTTCATTAGTAGTTATTAAATATGATCTTATTCTGCATTTCTACTCCTGCCCAAACTCTAAACCCCACTTCTACCTTAGAAGTGTTGTTTGCTAATACCATGAAGTGTGACGTAAAGTGTTAGAGTGTTCCAGTGCCGTACCTGCTAATGCAGGATGAACAGGTCCAGGACCAGTGAGATTCTTCACAGGCAGAGCAGGAACCCTGAAAACAGCACAGACATCAGTACATTTACAAACATTTACAAATGAAGACGAGTGATCCATCCAAAGAAACACAGTGAAACTCAAACAAACTCCTTCAGTCCAATGCAGATGTGACAGAATCAATAATAAAGCCCTGCTGAGCATCAGATCACACGCAGACACGAGTGCAGGATCATCTTAATCACTTCAGCATCATTACCAGGAACAAAACTCATTAACGGAGAACACGCAATCAGCTTTCATCCCTGAGGACTGAAGATCCTCCAGCTCATCTCAAAACCTCAGTCTCACACGTACGAGCGTTCAGGCCAGCAGATTACTGAACACATCTCATCTGAAAGACGGCGCTCACTGAGAAGTCTAAATATCAACTGACCCAGACTAGGCTCAAACCAGCAACCTTCTTGATGTGAGGCGAATGTGCTACCACTGTGCCACCCATTGTGCCACCGTGCAGCCGAGATATCTATCTATCTATCAATCTATATATATATATATATATATATATATATATATATATATATATATATATATATATATATATATATATATATATATATATATATATATATTTATGAAGATAGATATTTGACCAAAAAAAAAAAAAAAAAAAAAAAAAAAACAAAAACTGACAACAACTAACTAAATCTAACAATACCTAACTATAAATAATAACAATAAACGTAATAATATCTATCTATGATTGTCAATACTAACTAAATCAAACTATACCAAGCAATAAATACCATCTAACTAACTAAATCTAACTATACTTAACTATATATACTAACAATCTAACTAAATAATATCTATCTATAACTATGAATGCTAACTAAATAACACATAAATACCAACTAACTAACTAAATAATATCTATCTATACCTATGAATGCTAACTAAATCAG